ATTTTCCACTAAACACACCCTTCTCTCCAGCTGTGGGGTTTGAATGTGACCCATACAGCAGTCCAGCTGGGCTTTACTCAAAATACAAACTATTAAAAACAGAAAAGCAAGACTGTTACACCAGAAGAAATAAAAATACATTTTAATGTTTTAACATCTTTCACAGAAAGATTCTATCAGAGCAATCCACGTGATAATGTGTAATTTATGGTCAATGCATAATTCTTGTTTTGTTTAGTATAAGATCAGTAGAATAGCTATCATTTTTCTGTGATTTTCCTCCTCAGGTTGTTTGGGAACAGCAGGAGCACTGATCTACGGCCTCAGCGCCTTCAGACGGGGCAAAACTCGACAGTCCCAGCTGCTAATGAGAGCCCGTATCTTCGCTCAAGGCTTCACCGTCGTTGCTATTATAGTGGGTGTAGCTGCCACAGCACTGAAGCCTAAGCAGTGAAGAGAAGACACCGGACCCTGTTTGACCAAACTGACAAGTGCCTTACATGGTCGATGGGTGAAATGTGATGTGAATATGGAATGAACTGAACATTAAATGCCAATTGTTCACATTTTTATTTTCTTTACAGAAAAAGGTCCAGTGTAAGAACTCATATTATAGATCTACAGGTGGTAGATGGCACTATTCGCAAATTGTATCAATATGCCACACTTATACACACATTTAAAGGTACAGTTTACCCCAAAATGAAAAATCTGTTTTACAATCATTAACTCACCCTCAAGTTGTTACAAACCTGTATGAGTTTCTTTCTTCTGTTAAGCACAAAAGAAGATATTTTGAAGAATGTTTGTAACCAAGCAGTTGATGATAGCCAGTGACTTTTATAGTATGGAAAAAAATATATTATGGAAGTCAGTGGTTACTCACATTCTTCAAATTATCTTCTTTTGTGCTTAACAGAAGAAAGAAACTCATACAAGTTTGGCACAACTTGAGGATAAGTAAATGATGATTTTCATTTTTGGGTTAAGTATCCCTTTTATACCCACCATTTCATTTAAAGAGTCACAAAATTGTATGGTTGACAGGCATAGTACCTGTTTTTCCATGTTGATGACCATTGCTTGAAACATTACAATGCACTTTTGTTTTTTTGAACCTCAATTTTCTGTATGTATTTAGAAGGACTACTTAAGCTGCTGTGTATTTGCTAATGGGAATTGATCATGAGAATTTGTAATATTAAATCTCCCAAGTGTGATAAATGTTAGTCTCATTTTAAAAAGTCACAATAAATATAGTCTGAATGCATATGTTTTTAAATGAATTTGTTTTACTGAATACAGAATAATTATTGCATGGTCTGCACTGATGCACAAACATTTTGGAGTCAGGGTAAGGGCTAGATCTATAAAAGGGGGACTGAGAAATCCAGCCAAATTTAAATTACAAATCAATTTTCACTAGATTGTTGAATTAGAACCCAATGTTTATTTGAAGCAGTCAAAAACATACAGATGGTTTCTTTGGCTATTAACCATCATTTGTTATAATATGCAACTAAAGTTAACTTAAAAGCCAACAAAAATTCAATTTTCAATAGAAGCCTCCTAACTTATTCAAATAATCTGTAACGTGTATACAAGTGCCACGAAATAACAAGATGGATTACAAATTCAAAATCTGGACTATAAAAAGCAGTACATGTTTAAATTCCAGCATTTTTAAGTAAAAATACAACTACCTGCATTTTCTTACTGTGCTATGTTTTTTTTCTAGCGCTTTTGGCAGCTTTGAATGATGTAGGCCTACAGATAGACAGTAAGCGTCACAGTGAGACAAGGTTTAGGCACAGGATTCATTGCTGTAGACTGAGGCCACAATTACAAACTCCACACTAGAAAAGCACATGGTTCAAACTTATTACTATTAGTCCCTTATGTATATAGTAACATACCAGAAAACATTAACCGCCATGTAAGCACAGGCATGTGCTTAATGTGCCATGAAGGATTTCTGTGCAGTGGTATATTAGCAGGTTAAATCTGAGTAATTCTCCTGTAAAAGATTTATTTTAAGTATAACAGAAGCTTTTATGGGCAACATGCACATTTAATTAAAAACTGCACTCAACTATTTGAATATTGAAAAGTGGTAATGTGTGAATTAGAATAAAACAAGAAACTTGGCAAGCTCTGAAATGTAACTTCCCTCTTGACAGTGAACAGAAATAAACAAAACCAGATAATGCCAAACCCAGATACTGATTACAACACAACATTCAACTTAGGAAGACAAATACATGGTAAAAAAAAAAATACTATATAGGGTGAGAGATTGTAACTAAACTGTCCCTGTGTAGACTGTAACCAAACACTTCCATTTCCTGTGTAACAAGGCAATAAAGACACTTACTGGTTCCAGTGAAGTTATGCAATGGTTTGTGGGCACTGCAAAAAACACGACAATCACAAAAATAACTCATAAGCTAACCAAAATACTTTTGGCATTTGGATACATCTGCTGCCTTTCATGTATATTGGGATTAAGGGAAAAACTTGACTTGTTTTCAAATGATCGAGGTACACTTACAATGTTCTTCAACATATGGAACAGCCAAAGTCTTCTGACATTGCAAAACACCAGGGTACATAAATAGGAAGTTTAAATACAGTAAAGCATACACATTCAATTACCCTTTTTAAAACCATAAAAGCATAAATTTGTTAGAGTGTTCAACCTCACTAAAATAAAGTGCAAGAGGGAACAAGAAAGAAAGCCTAGGAAATACAAGAGGGAGTTATGTTAGCGAAGCAGAGGCATCTGTTTTAGAGAAATAAGAACGGAGCGCATCCGAGACACGTCTTTAGTCTGACGGCTGGTTTTGGGGTTAAAGTCGCATAGTCGCGCCACTTTGTCCCATTCTGTTCCAGGACTGTCATCATCGCACTCCTTGAGGAAGGCCTCCTCTGACACTCTACATGGACAGATAGGAGAGAATCATGAGAACCAGCACTTCACAGATGCTCAGGTAAGAGCCATGTCACTTATCATCATCTCAAATGAAATTAGAGATCGACCAACATTATTTTCTACACCCAATAGAGATTATTTTCTGTCCTAGCCAGGTCTAAACACACTGAACGTGAAACTGTGACAATCACAGCCAATCAGAAGATATCTGATGTTAATATTTCATCTTTTTAGGTAGGCATGTTAAGTCAAGTGTTCCTCACTTTAGAATGAAAAGTGGAAGTTATAGACCTGTTAACAAGAATGTAAGTAGAAAAGTGTGATTATCGTTAAAAATGTTGGTGGAACAGATCATTGGTCCATCTCTAAATGGAGTGAGAAATAAAGCTTGTATGTGATTACCCTACTGTTCAAAACTTTGGGGTCGGTAAGATTTTGAAAGATATTGATACTTTTATTCAGTAAGGATGCATTCAATTGATCAAAAGCATATTTAAATAAATGCTGTTCTTTTGAACTTTCCATTCATCAAAGAATCATGAAAGAAACATTTCCAAAAAAATATTAAGCAGCACAACTGTTTTTAACATCGATAATAACATGTTTCTAAAGCACCAAATCAGCATATTAGAATGATTTCTGAAGGATCATGTGACACTGAAGACTGGAGTAATGGCTGTAGACAATTCGGATTTACCATCACAGGAATAAACTACATTTTAAAATATATTCAAATAGAAAACAGTTATTTAAAATTTTAATAATATTTCACAATGTTAGTGTTTTTACTGTATATTTTCATCAAATAAATGCAGCCCTGGAGAGCACAGGAGACTTTTCATTTGAAAAAATCGTACTGACCTCAAACTTATGAATGGTTGTTTATGTAATGCAAGCAAGAAACTTGAGTGCAATTACGTGCAATTTCACTGATTTGCATTAAACATACACAAAGTCAATGGCATCAGAGTTGGGCTGTTTGTAGAAAGTCTTATCAGCGATCCTAATGCATAAACAGGCAGGACAGTAGGAAGAGGAAAATAAAAGAAGAGAAATGAAAAGAAGAGAAACATGGGAGCCGGAGAGTGAAAGCGAGAGAGATACATAAGAAGAAAGTCAGTCTCACACAAGCTGCCCATGAAAAGAAGTGTTACAGTACATCAAATACTTTTTCATGACACCCAGAAGACTGAAGATACAACATCACAACAACACTACTTTTTTAAGAGCTTAACCCGCATTGAACCTGGAACATTCCTTTATTGATTATTTAACTTGACATGTGCCTTTGTATCTCTCTCTGCTATAAATTCACACACACACACACACACACACACACACACACACACACACACACACACACACACACACACACACACACACAAAATACTGTAATGTGAATAAAACAGATGGTGCACCCAATAAAAAATTATAACTATTCACAATATGACAAGTCAAAGTCAAAGTCAACGGGATTGTTATCAAGAATTAAAAGCATGCAGAAAGCATTCAGAACAGTCTTCTCTGTGCACATAAAAAACTACAGTAAAAAAACAGAGGGAATCAGATACCATGCAAGAGTCTGTTGAGAAGTGTGAGAGGTGGCTGGCATTAGTTTCTCAGCAGTAAGACTCATAATGAATTAATTACATTTACTTGTGAGTATGAGAAAGATGAGACCTCATCTAAAACATATTATAAATATAAAAAAAAAATCTCAAAAAACAAATATCTTTAAATCAGCTAAAATTATACTAATGTCAATAGAAAACAATAAAACTGGCCTGTATTTTAGAGTTCGGCAAATTATTATTATTTTTTTTTAAAGTTCTCCATTACAAGTCTTTTCTCGTATGGACTGGTGGTTCACAACTGTCTGTATCCTAATTTTCACTAACAAATACATACAGCTCAATCAATAAAGCCTGGATGTTAGAGTGAAAATACCTGTTGTTGGCTTTATTCTTCTCCATCTGTTCACTCTGGTGTACATGCCAGTCCTCTAGTTCCTTCCGGGCCTTTTCCCTCCACACAGCCTCAGCTGCTTTAGAAGCTGCATCTGCACATCAGAAAACAGAGAAAGTTCATACACAACACACAAATTGCTAGATTTTTATTAGAAGTAATAAATAAACAATAAATAAGCAAGCAAGATTTATCCTAATATGTGAGATAAATAATACATTTGGCTTTTTTCCTTTTATAAATCAGCTACTTGAATAAAGGCTTTTAACTGTTTTTCCATTGAAGTGTGTACCTTTTCTTATTTGTAACATTTTGTTAATGTTTTGCTAGCAAATAATAAATACTGATTTCTATTACATGGCTGTAGCATAACTTAAAGTGAATGTTTTTGACTGCTGCCACTGTGGAAGTACTCTATTCCCATGATTCATTTGTTTCACAGAACACTAATGTTTTTTTTAAAGAGAAGATATGATTAGAATTCAACTGTCAACATGATCTAAGTGATCTAAACATGTTGGCCACCATATTAAGAGACCAGCTTTTTGTGGAATAAACTGGATAATTTTAAACATATTTGTCAAAAGCACTATTAATTGACTGGTTTTAAATTGAAGAAAAAATAATAATAATAAAAAATAAATAAATAAAATAAAAAATAAAGAGCTTTTTAAATTAAATAACGTTAAACCAGCTTTTAAGAGCCAAGGCTTTCACCTGAGAAATTTCCTCCATATAATATTGTGATATGCCAAATAATTGTCTTAATTGAACTTGGCAGTCTATCCAGTTTGTAACACGCAAACACAAAAAGCACAATTTCCTACTGACAGTTATTTATACTTATTCAGTACCTAATTCCTCCAGCCGAGCCTTTTGTTCCTCCCTCCATTTGCGAAGGCTTTCAGGTTCTTGTCTCTGTATGTCGACTTGGGCAATGGCTGAGTAGCTGTCTGTTGTGCCGTTGGTGTCCTAATGTTTCAAGTAATGTAACGTTAACAACGTCTGTTCCTGGCACAACTGCCAATTGTGTTGTAGTACATAAAAACAAACAAGAGCATTTAATATGACAAGATTTGTTGCTTTTCTAACCACACTCACTTGAAACATATCTCCGTTTACAGCAGTAGCTGGTGCTTCTTCAAAATCACCTGCGCTCAAATAGAAGAAACAACATGAGTTTAAGCACTTGTTAGGCAACAGTTTCTACGCTACGTTGACTATAGAAACCTTACAAACATCACTGGAATGCAGCACACCTTGTTGGACCGTGAGTATGTAAAGACCTCTCTCACAATTTCTGGATCTAGTCTGCAGGTGGGCTGGTGTGTGTTCACTTTTCAAAATGGTTTAGTTCAGCAACCTTGATTGTCTCTACTCTTTTGTTATTCACAAATAGCCTTTACTAGTGCACCTTTCCAGTTTGCTTGCTTGTCTTAACTTGATAGTGTGACAGGTGTGACTTTAACTCCAGCATTAAAGCTGAACATGTCATGTTAAGACTACTGAAAAACTTTGACCACAAAACTTGATTTGGTGCGTATTAGTTTGGAGTTCACTTTATTATCTTAATAAAACTCAGCAATCCAAATATATATCAAAGTCTTCATGGTTGTTGTCAATTATAAATAATCCCTCTCCACGACTGTCAGCTTATGGATCATTTTGATGATGATGATGATTGTAAATCACTTCCCACACAATTCATATTACAGCATCTTTGCTATATTGTTATTATAAGTAATAACGATTAATATTAACAAACAACACATATGGTTGTTATTATTTTGTAAACTTGTAATTGTGGTTGTTTTTGTTGCAAGTCATTGAATTAATGTGCACTATCCTTTACTAAAAAGTGCTGTAGCAGTACTATTGTACAATGGCGGTATCCAGTGGTAATAT